GGCGTGGGACCCTGGGCCTCAGGAGGCTGGGCCGTGGCTGCTCTGTCCAGAGGCGCCCGCACCCTCCGTGAGGTCTCTGCTCTGATGTGTGGCCCTCCCTTCTCTGAGTTTCCCACCACTAATGAGGCAGAGTTGACTGCCTTGCTAGAATGTCTCAAGCATGCATGTCCGCCCCTCGTCTTGCACATTGATTCTAAGTATGGGTTCGACGGTGTGTTGTCCAGAGGCCGTGTGCGCACCACTCAGGTGCTAGACACACACTGTTTTCTCTGGCGCGAGGTGTGGGCCAGGCTTGAGGATTGGGGGTTCGACGGCTCGGAGCTGTGTGAGGCGGCTCGTTTTGTCAAAGTGCCTGCCCACCCCTCGCGCGCGGATGTCCTGTCGGGTCGTGCTACGGCTCGTGACAAGTTCGGCAACGACATGGCCGACAAACACGCCAAGTGGGCGGCCCAGGCCTTCCGAGTGCCGCCGCCGCAAGCCGCTGCCGTCGCTTCCAGAACCAAGGTTTTGAAGTCCTGGGTGAAGTGGGTGGGCAGGGTGGGTGAGAACCTCCCCGACTCCTCCCACCCTCCCTCGCTCCAGCGTGGTAAACCTCCCACCCCACAGCTCCAGCTTGTGCAGGAGACCCTTCCCCAGGACATTGTTTCGCGTGCTGCCAGAGCTTCCCAGGCCCTCAGTGCTAAGGGTGAGAGGCCTCATGCTCTGGTCAAATTCTCTCTCCAGGACGGTGTCGTCCTGATTGGCTGCTCTCGCTGCGGTGTCATCTCGTCGTCTCGCCTCTCCAGTCTCTCTTCCAGTTGCTCAGGGAGCCTTCCTGCCTGGGCCAATAAGATTTGGGACAGGCTCAGACGTTGTGAATATCGGCACACCGCAGCGGGTTCTTCTCGAGTTCTCAGAGTGCTGGCCACTGAACCCGTGCTGTAACTCGTTCGGCTTTGCTTTCGGTTGCTCGTCGGAGGATCTTCGGCGCGAAATGTCTTTCGCAGGAGGAGAAGGATGATGATGATGATGATGAGGAGGAGGAGGAGCAGAAGGAGGAGGAGGAGGAGGAGGAGGAGGAGGAGGAGAAAAGAGGAGGGAGGAGGAGGAGGAGGAGGAGGAGGAGGAGGAGGAGGAGGAGGAGGAGGAGGAGGAGGAGGAGGAGGAGGAGGAGGAGGAGGAGGAGGAGGAGGAGGAGGAGGAGGAGGAGGAGGAGGAGGAGGAGGAGGGAAGAGGGGAGGAGGGAGGAGGAGGAGGGGGAGGGGAGGAGGAGGAGGAGGAGAGGAGGAGGAGGAGGAGGAGGAGGAGGAGGAGGAGGAGGAGGAGCAGGAGCAGGAGCAGGAGGAGGAGGAGGAGGAGGGAAGAGGAGGAGGAGGAGGAGGAGGAGGAGGAGAGGAGGAGGAGGAGATGGAGGAGACGGAGGAGGACGGAGGAGGAGGAGGAGGAGGAGGAGGAGGAGAGGAGGAGGAGGAGGAGGAGGAGGAGGAGGAGGAGGAGGAGGAGGAGGAGGAGGAGGAGGGAGGAGGAGGAGGAGGAGGAGGAGGAGGATCGTCGGCGAGCGACGGTGGGAAGCCAGGGAGTGAGACCAATCGCGATGCAAGTCGAGAAACATCGAACTACGGACGCTCGCGAGCGAGCTTCTCGGCCTTGCTGAGAGCCTTCGGCCATCGATCGGAATGGATCCAATGTAGCTGTTCGTGTCGATTCGCATTCGTCGCCCCGAGACATTCGTGTCCACGGTTCTTGATCACGTTACTACCATAAACCCCGCAGCTAGCACAGAACCACAATTTCAATTGTCAGGCGCGGGCCTTTTCAGAAGTCTCTGAAGTCCTCCGGCCTTGTGAGAAGTCTTCCTAACCTTCCCCGAAGACACAAAACGCTTCTCAGAAGGACGGAGGGCTTCTGAGAAGCTCCGCTGGCTTCTGAGAAGGCCTCCTCCTTCTGAACTCCTCACTTCCCTCTCTCGCTCGCCGCCGAGAGGAGGAGGATGAGGATGAGGAGGAGGAGGAGGAGTAGGAGGAGGATGGGGAGGAGGATGGGGGAGGAGGAGGAGGAGGAGGAGGAGGAGGAGGAGGAGGAGGAGGAGGATGAGGAGGATGAGGAGGAGGAGGAGGAGGAGGTGGAGGAGGAGGAGGAGGAGGAGGAGGGGAGGAGGAGGAGGAGGAGGAGGAGGAGGATGGGGAGGAGGATGGGGAGGAGGATGGGGAGGAGGAGGAGGAGGAGGAGGTGGAGGAGGAGGAGGAGGAGGAGGAGGAGGAGGAGGAGGAGGAGGAGGAGGAGGAGGAGGAGGAGGAGGAGGGGGAGACGATGGGATCCCTTCGACGCTACAGGTGACGCAGTCGAACCCCATGCCACAGCACTCCTGGGAGGCGGGCCCCACGACGGGCCCCGATCCGTCGGAAGGGGAGCCGCCCAGGAAAGGGGGGGGGATGGCAGAGGGGGCCAGAAAAGGGGAACCGAACTTTTTACACCGATGCTTTTTTTTCCGGTCCCGCACTGAGATCCGCACGAGAAAACGGATTCTGGTGTACACGGCATCCTGGTGTATAGATTTGTTGTTGTTTCCACGGGGAAGCGGGGGGAAAAAGTACACACCACACCACCCCGACGTCGTCCCCGACCCTCGAAAAATCCTGGGATTGCAAAGCAGCCCGCCACTGGTCATGTATACGTTCCAGTTTCCGACAGCAGGGGGAAAGCTTGCCTGACTTTGCCCTCAGGGCGCATGCCAACTGTGAAGGCATGGCCTTTCGATCGTTGAGGCCAGCGGAGGCGGCACCTGGCGATGCACGTCGCGCGGGGCCCGTGGGGATGTCACCATCGGCGTGTGTGGAGACTGGGTCCTGTCGACGGCCAGGAGGTGGGGTTGCATGGTGAATCTGAGTGTTGCTCACGTGGGCTGTCAGTGTGGCTTCGTGGGTCGTGATGTCGTGCTGCATTCTGTGAACACTCCGTGGAATGCCACGTATCTCATCGTTAGTGTCGTGGGCTCGCCGGGAGTACCTGTCCAGCCGCTGCTTCAAGTCCTGGATTTGTCGGTGGTTCAGCGAGGGGCGTCGGAGAAATTACCACGGGCGGGGCTCCCCAGAAGGCCGAGGAGGCCTCTCCGGAGCCCTCCGCGGAACATCCCCGAGGTCTTCCGCGAGGCCACGGCGGGCTTCGGAGGAGCCCCGCCGCATGGTGAGAGGGCCCACTGTACACGATCGGCGGACAACAGCTCCGCCGTCGCCAGGTCCTTCCTTGGGCGAGAATTCAGAATTCATTGGGGGGGAGAGGGGTGCCCTTTCCGAGCCCTCAAGGCCCCCCTCTTGGGCCCTTGAGGGCCCTTTTAGGGGCCCTCACAGGGGCTCCTATTCTGCCCTCGCTGCCCCCCCCCCCCCCCCCCACGCATCGCCCACATGAATTCGCGCCTAAGGCCTCATCCCCACGTCCCTTCTGGCGCGCGAAGCGTGAATGGTGCAAAGCGAAGAATCCGGCTGAGGCGGAGGAGCCGTGCGCGGACTCCCAGAAGTTTCTGCTCGTGCGGCTGTCCTTCAAACCGAGAAAGAAGGCGTCGCGGGCGCCAACGGAGAAAAGCTCTCGAGGCGGTGGGAAGCAGGACATGGAGCTCCCCGTGGAGCCCAATAACGTTAGATGGGTGTGCCGAAATGGAGGCGGTTGCCGCACGCGAACGATACCGTGGGGGACTTTGGTGGAGCTCCGCACAGGGCCTCGAAACCGTGATGAGGGATGTGCCGAAACGGAGCCGGGTACCGCACGTGAGCGCTGCCACTGGGGCCTTCGCTTGAGCGCCCTGTGGGGCCACGTGGGAAGGGTGGCTGCCGACCCGGAGCAGGACAATCGCGTGCGGGCCCTGCACATCTGGGGGCCTGCGGTGGAGCTCCCTGTGGGGTTGCGAAGCGCGTGGGCGGCGTGCCGAACCGGAAGCGGGTACAGCGTGCGAGCCCTGGATGCTGGGGCCGCAGCTGGAGCTCCCCACGGGGTCACGAAGCGTGTTGGGGGTGTGCCGACATGAGCATGCGGAGGGCAGAGGCAGGGACGGGAGGAGGCAAGGCAGGGCGGATCTGGGGTGCTATCACCGTGTGCCCTCTGTGTCAAAAAGTTGTGCGATCACTAGCACCTGAGTGGCATCGAACATGCAAGTTCCCACGGCTGTTGGTGCTGCAGGTCGGAGGGAGGAGGGGAAGAAGGAACGAGGATTGAACAGGGACCGACCGTCCCGGCATTCCTGTAGTCCTACCACGATTTTTTTAGAACCCAGAAATGTTCTAAGAAGAAAAACAATGTTCTCAAATCTTAAGCCTTATGTGTCAACACAAGACAGACTCAGCCAGAAATGTTCTCAGAGCACTTCGTGGGAACCACAGAAGGTTCTCAGAACACTGTTTGGTCGGGCTATAGGCGACCCGGGACGCCTCGCCACTGCCTCAAGGCACGAGGGAGGAGGGGGAGAAGGAACGAGGCGTGAGACGCGGGGTGCTCTCTTCCAAACGAGGGCCCGGCACGCACGACAAACTGAAGGGGCCCTGGGACACACAAATAAATACACACAAATAAAATCATTCCCCATATTTTCACATATTTTCTGGGTTTTTGTCTTCCAGCCCAATTCCCATATTTTCCCATATTTTCCTGGGACTCGACGATTAATTGTGTCTGTGTGTTTCCTTCCCTCCTGACAAACAGGACTCCTGGGGACACACCAGGGTCGGGGCAGGGGGCCGGCCCGGCCCCTCCGCTTGGATGGGCTCCCGTCGGATGTCCCTCCAGGCACCCGCCGTCGCTCGGGCGTCCATACCCCGTGCACGCCTGCCGACCTTGCGCGTGCTCCTCTCGGTTGCTCGACGATCCAGGGGTGCTGCTCGATGGTCCCCGCCGGGCAGAAACGCACACTCCCGAGCGGTGCCAGGGACAAAAAACAAAACACACACACACACACACACACAAAAAATGCACAACAAAAACACACACAAAAAACACACACACACACACACGAGGAGCCCCGCAAGCGCCCTTTTATGCCGCCAGGCCGGGCGTTCGCGGCAGACACCCAGGCGCCCAGTATCATGCCGTAGGTCGCGACGTCGGGCGCGATCCGCCGGTGCCCCATGGCGAGGAGCAGCCCGAGCGCGTGGTGCCACTGCGTGCTCCTGGGCTTCGGCGGCGAGCGAAGGGGGGGGGGGTGGACCGAGAGGGAGAAGGCCTTCTCAGAAAGCGGCTTCTGTGGCAAGTGGCGGCAGGGGAGCCCTGCTCTGGCTCGGAGGCAGCCGCGCGATGGGAGGAGGAGGAGGAGGAGGAGGAGGAGGAGGAGGAGGAGGAGGAGGAGGAGGAGGAGGAGGAGGAGGAGGAGGAGGAGGAGGAGGAGGTGGAGGAGAAGGAGGAGGAGGAGGAGGAGGGGACTTCTCAGAAGGTCTCGCGCTTTCTGAAGGGTTTTCTGCGTCCTCGGAGGAGGCTCCGAAGACTTCGCAGGGGGCCAGGGGGCCGCCCGCCCCTGCTCGCTTCCCCCCCCGGTGCTCGCTGCCAAGGGTCGGCAGCACATCCCTCTCCTCCTCACTCCTCGCTCTCGCTCCTCGCTCGCTCGCGCTCCCCCCCTCCTCCTCCTCCTCCTCCTCCTCCTCCTCCTCCTCCTCCTCCTCCACTCTTGCCCATACACTCGCAATCGCTCGGACGCCTATTGCCCGTGCTTGTTTCGGCTTCGTGCGCGTATGTTTCGCAGGATGGCCTCAAATGCTCCTCGATGGTCCTCGCCGAGAACAAATGGCACACGTCCGAACGATGCCAAATACATATGGGAAGGAACCGAGCTTTGACATTTTGCTTAGTCCACGCCCCACTTTTGTTTTCGTCGCCATTTCTGCTGCCCCCGATGCCGTCGCAACTGTCGTAGCAGTAATCGGCGTCGCCGTTGTCGCAACCATCGTCGTCTTGGAGTTTGTCTCCCGTTCGATTTGAAGCTTGTCCGATTGAGACTTGCTAGCCAATGCCCGTTACATATTCCAGCAACGGCCACTCTTGCCAATTGCAAGCGATGTGTGGGTAGGCGGACTGGTAATGGAGCAGTAGGCAGTAGAACAATACTCGTGCACATAAACTGTGCTGACCCTAGCCCTAAAAATGAAGTATGATCCGCATCCTTAACTCGGACACCCTGTTCCGAGCTCTGACCCCTATTACCCAACGCCTGATCATACCCCTATCCCTGGCGCCGTACGCCTACGTATAACAGCCTAATTACGTAACTCGACCAAGCAACCGAAAGACTAAACCTGATCCAACCCCAATAATCCGAACCATAACCATAACCCATAATCCTAAGCCAAACCCGAATGCCGTAACACGGCCCCTTACACTCGAATCACTAACCATCATTCGATAACTAGACCATGCACCTTGCGACTCAGCAGCCGAACCCGAATCATAACGCCCGATTCCAACCCTCTAGAGAAACAACGAACTGTATAAACATCAGTGTTGGGAAGTCCGTACGGATTTCTTGGATCTGCGCTGGACCCCCCTCCCTGGAGGCGCGCGGAGCGCGCCAAGGGCGGCGCTGGGGACGCCGCTACAGTCGGACCTAGGCTAGAAAAACATCTTTCAAGTCTGTGGCACCCCCCGCTGGCCAAAGGACATAGAGCATCCGAGGATACCCTCCCCTAGGACGCACAAGAACATCCAGCAAACACGAAGAACATGAGTGTACCCTCCCCGAACTGACCTCGATGTTATATCTAGGTCCGACTGTATGGTGTTCCAGCGCAGATCCGAGAGGTCCCTGCGGAGCTTCGAGACTGTATGTTTCTTCCGTCTTTCCTTCTTCGACAGTCGCAGGCCCGATGGACCCTGCAGAGGAGAGAAGGAGGGATGGATGGATGGTGGGAGGCAGGAGGGAGGCAGGAGCACGTGGCAGGAGCAGGAGCAGGAGCAAGAGGAGAAGGAGGAGGCGGACAAAAACGTGACGGCTCGCACGAACCAGCGTTTTTACCCATCGCAAAAAAAAGAGGGAGGAGGCGGAGGAGGAGGATGAGGAGGAGGAGGAGGAGGAGGAGGGGGAGGAGGAGGAGGAGGAGGAGGAGGAGGAGGAGGAGGAGGAGGAGGAGGAGGAAGAGGAGGAGGAGGAGGAGGAGGAGGAGGAGGAGGAAATGGGGAGGAGGAGGAGGGGAGGAGGAGGAGGAAGAGGAGGAGGAGGAGGAGGAGGAGGAGGAGGAGAAAGAGGAGGAGGAGGAGGAGGAGGAGGAGGAGGAGGAGGGCCTGCCCCTAACCTTGCCCTGGCCCCGAATCCCTCGCCCGAGCCCCCTGCCTCGCGCGCGGGGCAACGCGCCCAGCCCCTCCCCTCCGTTGCCCAGGCGGGGGACCAAAGCCAAACACACCTGAATGGGGGAGGAGGGCCAATCTTTCGAGCCCAGTAGGGATGAAGAGGAGGAAGGAGGAGGAAGCAGGAGGTAGGTGGAGTGAGGAGGAGGAGGGAGGGGGAGGGCTGGCGCGGGCTGCTGGGCGCGGAGGCCACGCCGGGCGGCTCTCGGAGCAGGAGGGCGAGCTGGGCGGGGGCGCCGGGCCGCGGCTGGAGTCGCCCAGGCCGCGGGCGGCGGCAGGCGGGCGCGGGGCAGGTGCGGCGGCCGCTGCCGGCGGCGCGGCGGGCGCCCGGCGCAGCCGGCGGTGGGGCAAAAGCTGGCCCGCGGGGGCGGCGCGGGGGCGGCTGGGGCGACTGCGGGGCTGCTGGGGCGGGCGGCGCCTGGCGGTGGCACTGCGCTGGTGCTGCCCTTCCCGGAGGAGGTGTGGCGCCTGTCGGTGGGACCGCAGGCCGCTGGCCACGCGGCCTGCTGCACGTCGCCGCCGTGCTCCCGGGTAGCCAGGTAGCCGGCGCTACATCCTGGACAGCCCCTCGGCGGTCCCAAGGCCCAGAGACGGCGTCCCGACGCTCAAACTTACGAAAGACATCCTGCGCAATCTTATTCGACATCCTTTCGCTCGGCCTGGTACCAGTCCTGGGTCGAGGACCGACGACGCCCCAGGAGGCGCCGGCGCGGCACGGTGCACACGAGTCATCCGCGGGCCCGCGGCGCCCGCCGCAGCGCCGCCGCTCGCTCGGGCCGCGCGGCGAAGCGCCCCCCCCTGCGGGCGGGCGGCGGCAGCGGCGCGCAAGGCGGCGCGGCGCTCCGCGCACGGCCCGAGCGAGCGGCACGGTGCGGTGACAGGCCGCACGTTCTAGCACCGCACCGCTTCGGGACTCCAGAGAGGTGGAGGCCGGGACCTGGCGGCGCCCGGGGCGCGCAGGAGAGCGCGGTTCCATGGTTCCACGGCGCGGTGGGATGATGTCGCCGGCGAAGGGGTGGCGCCAACAACGGGGGCCCCACGTCTGCAGGGGAACACCGAGTTCGAGGAGAAGGCTCGGCCACCAGGGCTGCTCCCTGAAGGAGTTACCCGTCGGTCGGAAGAAGTAGGTCAGAAGATGAAGTAGGAAGGTGGATCAAGTAGATCGGGTTCAGGCCCTCTCAGAAAATAGCATGGCACAGCAAACACATATCGACTCTTGAAGTCGGGAGGTGCTTGAAGTAGAGGGATCTGGGAACCCAGAAACACCTACTTTCAACGACCGACGGGTGAGTGGATCGGTGGGCAGGACGGCGCTTTCTTGAGTCTGTGGCGAGCTGGGCCCAGCAGGCCGTCGGGCTCACGGCGAGGCGCGTCCGCAGCCAGATCGGGCGAGAGCCTGGGCAGAGGGCACGCGCCGGCCGGAGGGTTCCAGAGGGCTTTTAGCGAAGGGGTTTTCCAGAGAGCCCCCCCAGGGGCCTCGGAACCTCGTCAAAACAGGTGGTGCGAAGCCACTGGGGGACCCCTCCCCAAAAAGCCCCTTTGGAACCCTCAAGAGGAGGATGAGGATGAGGATGAGGATGAGGATGAGGACGAGCATGAGGATGAGGAGGAGGAGGAGGAGGAGGAGGAGGAGGAGGAGGAGGAGGAGATGAGGGAGGAGGAGGGGGAGAGGAGGAGAGGAGGAGAGGAGAGGAGGAGGAGGAGGAGGTGGAGGAGGAGGAGGAGGAGGAGGAGGAGGAGGAGGAGGAGGAGGAGGAGGAGGAGGAGGAGGAGGAGGGGGGGGGGGGAGGAGGAGGAGGAGGAGGAGGAGGGAGGAGGGAGGAGGAGGAGGAGGAGGAGGAGGGAGGCGGAGGAGGAGGAGGAGGAGGAGGAGGAGGAGGAGGAGAGGAGGAGGAAGGAGGGAGGAGGAGGAGGAGGAGGAGGAGGAGGAGGAGGAGGAAGAGGAGGAGGAGGAGGAGGAGGAGGAGGGGGAAGGAGGCGGTCTGGGGCTCGGCGTTGGCCTGGAGTGGCGTGAGCAGAGCTGGCTGCGGAGGGGCGTGAGCAGAGGAGCGGGGTTTGCAGGGGCAGAGATCGACGGCGAGCGGGGGTGGGGGAGCGAGAGCGGGCGGGCCTTCTCGGAGGGCTCGGAAGTTCCCCGGGCTTCGGAGGAGGTTTCGTCGACACGCGCGCTCCACCGCCCGCAGAGCAACTACTCGCAGATGGCCTGGGATCCCCCGCCGGGGACCTGCGATAAATTACGTCAGAGCAGACAGGTGCTTTTCGGACGTTTGCGAGTAGGCACTTTGCGAGTAGTGGAACGCGCTCGGCGATTTCTGAGCGTTCCCCGAAGATGCAGAAAACCTCTCAGAAGGCCGGAGGGCTTCTGAGAAGTCCCGCTGCTTTCCGAGAAGGCCATCTCCTTCTCGCTCCCCCCCCTCGCTCGCCGCCGGATGGCGGAAAGGGCGACCACACTTGGCGTATGGCCGCCTCCCGCTCCTGACGCAAGCGTTGACCGCCGCGTTGACGCCGTGGGTCAACTTCGTTGAGTTCTGCAGGGGCCGCCCGAACACCTTGACACGCCCGGAATGGGGAGTGCACGGATCGACACTGGCACAGGGAAACAACTTGCTGGACACAGAGACTCGCCTGCAAAGTTCCTGGCGAGTCTCGGCCCCCCTCGAGTCAGAAGCTCAGGTGGTCAGATCCGCACGGAGCCCTTGAGGCGCTTGGCCAACTTGGCCGTCGCAAGATATTGGGGTTCTGGATGTCGCGGCGACTACCTGTCTGTACCGATCAGGATAATGCCGCAAAACAAGTGCTGCCCGACACCGACAGAGACTGCTGTCGGACAAGCGACACTCGCTATGTCGACTCACTGGACAACCCTCTGTGAGTCCAGCAGAGACTCCCTCCCGCTGATAACGAGCAGAAGTGGCCAGAGCCTGCTAAAACGAAATATCACCAATTTTTCAAGCCGCTGCCAGCCCCTGGGAGGCCGCTAGGAACGCCCCGAAAGAACTCAACCAGGACCGTAACTCAAGTTACGAGAGAGTCTCCTCGCTCCTTGCGGGCCCTCTGGGGGCTCTTGGGGCCCTTGGGCGCCTTACCTACCAGGATAATCCCACGAGCCGTCTGGGCGTAGGTGGTCTAGAGAGCTTTCTCTTCCAACCCCCGTCTTCCCCTTCGGGGGTAACCCCCCCCTTACCTCCTCCCTGGACTTGGACGGGCCGGTCGCGGCGCGTTGGAGCGGCCAAGATGGCCCACGATGGCTCCAAGAGGGCCTCAGAGAGTGCAAGATGCCCTCCAAGATGGCTCCAGATAACACAATATCACTCAAGATGGCTTCCAAGATGCTCCTAGAGGCCCCAAGACCGCCTCAAGACGGCTCCAAGTGGCCAGAGTGCTCCCCAAGGAGGCCCCCAAGAGACCTAAATCCTTGAAACCCCTAAGGAAGATCAACATCTTTGGCTTTCTCGCCTTTTCGTTTCTGATGGCCATCCCAGGCGTCAGGATGGCTCCAAGATGGCTCAAGAGGGCCCCAAGAGAGCCTCAAGACGGCCCCTCGAGCGCGCAAGAGCGCCCTAGCAGGCGATTTTTTGGGCTCCCGAGGGGGGGCCCTAATTAAAGCTCCCTTTTGTTGAGATGTCTTCCAAGATGGCTCCACGACGGCCCCTAAAGCTCCAAGAGCGCCCAAAGAGGGCCCCGAGAGGCGCTCAGGCGGCCACAAGAGGCGCCCAAGGAGCCTCCAAGAGGCCCCAAAGACTCCTCAAGAGGATCCCCGAGCCACCCAAGACGCTCAAAGACTTCCCTGGGCCCGCCAAGATGCCCCCCAGACGCCCCAAGATGCATCCAAAAAGTTTCCAAGCGACATCCGAGGAGACTCGGAGAGGCATTCAAGAGGCTTCTGGCTCTTCTGTTCGCCCTTTTCCTCCTCCTCCTCCTCCTCCTCCTCCTCCTCCTCCTCCTCCTCCTCCCTCCCTCACTCCCTCCCTCCCTCCTCCTCCCTCCTGCCTCCTCCTCCTCCTCCTCCTTCTCCTCCTCCTCAACGGCTTAATTACTCTCCTCCTCTTCTTCCTGCCTCCTCCCCCTCCCTCCTCCTCCTCCTCCTCCTCCTCCTCCTCCTCCTCTCCCTTCTCGTCCTCGTCCTCGTCCTTTTCCACGTGCTCCTCATCCTTCCTCCTCCTCGCCCTGTACCTCTTCTTCTTCTTCCTCCTCCTCCTCCTCCTCTTCTTCTCTTCCTCCTCCTCATCTTCTTCCTCCGCTCCTTCTTCACCCTCTTGGAGTATGACGGTTTCTCCATCCCTGTTTTCTCTGTATGCTCCCCCACGTCCTTGATCATGGCAACTCGTCTGGACATCGTCTCTGGATGGGCTGCCCTTCTCCTCATCCGCCTATTCCTCCTCATCCCTCCTCATACTCCTCTTGCTCCTCCATCCGATTCCTCCTCTGCCCTCCCCCTCTTGGGATACGACGTCTTACCAGACCCTTTATTCCACTACATTCTAATCCACATCCCTGATCCAAGCAACTCGTCTGGGCCCCGTCTCTGGATAGGCTGGTGGGGTTGCGCGAAACGTCTAGAATTCCCAAAGACCTCGGGACGTCTTGAAGCGATATGGGAGGCCTCTGGGGCCGTCTTTGGCTGTCGGAAGCTCGAAAAAACGAGAACGCCAAAACAGCTGAAAAACTTCTTGACAATCTATGACTTGGACCTCGTCAAACCATCTTGGGGGTGCTCACAGAACTCTCTTGGGGGATCTTGAAAACCTCTTGGGCCGTCTTGAGGCCGTCGAGGACCGTCTTGGAACGCTGTAGAGCCGTCTTGGGCGGGTCTTAGCGGTAATGGCGGACTCTTCGCGCTGGCTTGAGGCGGTCTACGGTCGTCTTCACCCATCTCGGAGCTGAAAGAGCCCACTGCAGTCTTGAAAGGGGCTCAAGGTCCCCAAGGGCTACACCCTGCGAAATGCTTAAGAAATCATGGGTTAAGAAATTCATAGTCTCAGAACTTGAATAAAAACCCAACATTTCCATTAAAATCTGAAGATTTACATTGAAACGTTAAGAAAAATCGAGACTCTGGCCGAAAACTTAGGTTTTCTTAAGCATCGCCTAGAGTGTAAACGAGGGTAGCAGAAGGGAAGGGGGAAGTGTAGAAAAGTGTGCCGCCCCTGGGCCCGCAGGCCTTGTCGCTGGCAGTATTCTTGCCAACATGGTCGTAGATGTACACCCTGCGAAATGCTTTAGAAATCATGGGTTAAGAAATTCATAGTCTCAGAATTTGAATAAAAACCCAGAATGTCTATTCAAATCTTAGGATTTGCATTGAAACATTAAGAATAATCGAGACTCTGGCCGAAAACTTAAGTTTTCTTAAGCATCGCCTAAGGTGTATATGTACATGTCATAGCAATGACATTCTTCCTGTGTGGCAGCCACTTCCCTTTCTGAGCCACTATGTTGTGCGACATTGATGTTCAACGAAACGAGATTTCCTTAGGAGGTCCCTGCGAACCACCAGGAAGGCCCTGGAAGCCCCAAGGGATTCCTTTGTCCCGACGGTCCCTCTGGCGCGGTCGATGATATTTCGCGTGGCAACACAAGGAAGAGTGAACCCATATACTAGAGAGAGGGACGTTATAAACCATCGCCCAAGGATCATTACAGATAATGCGGTGTGCATGTATGTCCTGAAGCCCTGAAAGGGGCGAGTCTACCTCGCACGCTAAAGGTACAATACAAGTGGGAAGTCATCGAACAATGAGGGGAAACTGAAGATATTCAGAACACGAAGCAATGTGACCACAAAACACGTTCTCCTCGATTCCTCGAGGAAGGCCCCGACCATGCCATCAACGTATAACGTGTCTTGCCGTGTCATCATGAAATATAACACACTGCCACATCAGAGCGCAACCCTACACCACAACACTGTGTACGTGGCATGACCGGGCATAATGAAGCTCAACGAAGCTGAACGCAATCTAACATGGCATGGCTCACATACCGCTGAACCTGGTATGTTACGGCACACCGAAACCCATAACATTATCAGCTCTCCCTCTTGGAACCAGAGCGTCGCACAGTGGGGCAGCCTTTTTTCCTTGGGCTGATAAGGTTGTGTTGTGTGCCACCGGGCCTGGGCGGCGGTCGCATGTAACAGCTACGTGCTGCTTGGATTGCCTTCGCCTTGCTTTCAGCAAGCCAGACTACGAGACCACACAGGAACATGTAAGACCACGCCATGCCATGCCATACTATATCACATCAAGCGGATGATGGAAATGGGAACGGGATGCCTGACTGTAGGTAACACCCTCCTCCTCCTCCTCCTCCTCCTCCTCCTCCTCCTCCGCATCGTCAATGACAAGTAATGGTGCAAGGCTTGACCATGAGGTAATAAACTGACAACCCTACTCTTAGGATCACGCCGGCGACGTGCTGAAGTATCCCACAACTCATCCCTTGATGGCAAGCGAGAGGATCGATAAGAGAAAAACCATGGGAGATGGATCATAAAGGACGTGGCCTAGTTCCGTTGCTACGGTCCCAATAGAGGCGCACAGAGTCGCGCGCACCTGGCATATCGGACAGCGCTGCCTTGAGCCAAGACAGCGTCGGATATAGCGTTCGCTATAAAAGGCTCTCCTTAAACCTCGATTGAAGTCGGGAGGGGAGGGACCGAATGCCAGATCAGAGTGAGGGGGCTGAACCGAACGGTCATTCTCTGTCCCTGGGTGCGTGGCTAAAGTGGAATTCCGCGATGCGGATTCTTGTTGTTGTTGTTGTTGTCGTTGTCGTTGTCGTTGTCGTTGTCGTCGTTGTTGTTGCTGTTGCTGTTGCTGTTGCTGTTGTTAATGTTGTTGTTGTTGTTGTTGTTGTGGTGGTGGTGGTGGTGGTTGTTGTTGTTGTTGTTGTTGTTCTCGTTTGTTGTTCGTTGTTGTCGTCGTTCCGCCCGCGACACCCGCGACCCACCCCGCGACCCAACCGCGACCCATCCGCGACCCACCCCGCGACCCACCCCGAGACCCCCCCCGCGACCCACCCCGCGACCCACCCGCGACCCACCCGCGACCCACCCGCGACCCACACCGCGACCCGCCCGCGACCCACCCCGAGACCCCCCCGGCGACCCACCCGCGACCCACCCGCGACCCACCCGCGACCCACCCCGCGACCCACCCGCGACCCCCCACGAACATCCAGAGCGGCCCAAGACATGGAGCGCGACACTGGCTCCCAGATGAGCTAGTGTGCACACGAAAGAGTCACTCATCAGCATCCCGCAGTGTCAAGGAACGCGAATTCGCTCCTGGGCCCTTGGACGGCTGCCGCAAGCCCTTCGGATGCCCCCCCCTTTGGGCGAGAATGGCGCCATAATAGGATTGGCTCAGGATACGTTCCATCCAGGATCTCCAGATTATCTAGCGCCCCTCGCTTCTGCAGCCCGCGTGGAACAATGGGACATTCTGCGAATCCTGGAAATCCTGGAATGTACCATTCTCATGAGCTCTTATTCCTCTGACTCCTTGGAGGCGAACCTTGCGCTGAGGGGAGGAAAGCGGGGACCATGACCAAGACTGAACGCGGAAACGCCGTGTCGATCTTGGTCGGCGTCGACATTGGTCAGCGTCAACTCGTGCATCATCTTTGCGAGCCGGCGACGGCCGATATGGACCATGACCAACATCGGCATGGACGAGGTCCCGCGACATCTTGGTAATCGTCCCAGTGCTTCTTCCCTCGGAGTGTCCCCCGCACACGACGTGGGCGGGCAGCAGTCGCCGAAGGCAAGCGATGGGGCCCGGCGAACACCGCCCCCTCCCGGGGCGCCTCGAACGCGGGAGACATCACCGCCAGCGCCCCGTGCCAAGCCCCGCCGCTGCCACACGCCGTCGCGGTCAGCTCGCAGGTGGTGATGTCCTCGGGCGCGGCCAGAGCGGCGGTATCGGTGTGTGTGGGCCCTGTCGGACAGCGACCCTGGCGTCAGGGATGCTGTCGGGCTGGGCCATGTCTTGCAGGACGCATCGGGGGGAAACAAAACATCACGTGGGACCCCGTCCAGAAGGAGAAATAACGCCACACGCATAAACTTGTGGCGTTCTTTCTTCTTCGACCGTCGTGTGGGACCATATCGTATGGGACCCTATCAGGTAGGGGCCCTGTCGGACGGGACCCTGTCGTGTGGGGCTATGAAGTGAGGACTCCATCGAGCGGGATCTTATCGTGTAGGACGCTGTTGTCTGAAACCCAACCGTGTGGGACATTATCGTGTGGGACCCGATCGTGTGTGACCCTACCGTGTGGGACCCTGCCGTGTGGGACCCCATCGTGGAGAGCTTCGTTGTGCGAGACCCTGTCGGGTGAGAGCCTGCCGGATGTGGAACTGTCGGTTGGGATACCCCCATCGAGTGTGTGCGCGTGTGGTTGCAGGGCTGTCGATTGCTTGTTGCACCGCCGATTGGAGTCATCGACGCCGCCCTAGCATGACGTTCCCGAATGTCATCAAGACGGTGCCCAGATGTCCCAATATAGATCTGATGTGTCCCATTCTGATAGAGAGGGGGCCGGCGGCAGGGGGCGAAGCCCTTACGGATAACACCATCTCCTATCGGTTGCGCCATAGCTTGCGCCCTCGGCGGCTGAGAATAAAACTGTCTCCTATCGGTTGCACCATAAAATGCGCCCTCGGCGGCCAAACATAAACCGTCCCCTATCGGTTGCGCCATAAGTTGCGCCCTCGGCGGCCGAGCATACAACTGTTTCCTATCGGTTGTGCCATAGGTTGCGCCCTCGGCGGCCGAGAATAACACCATCTCCTATCGGTTGCGCGATAGGTTGCGCCCTCGGCAAGCCGAAAATAACACCATCTCCTATCGGTTGCACCATAGGTTGCGCCCTCGGCGACTGAAAATAAAACCATCTCAGACAAAAAGCCTCCAGGACCACCCCAAGACGGCCCAAGAAACCTCGAAGAGAGCCCCGAGACCGCCCAAGAGGGCCCCACGACAGCCCAAGAGGCGCCCAAGACAGTCCAAGAGGACCCCAAGAAGGCCCCAAGAGAGGCCCAAGATGGAGACCACGAGCCGAAAATCCGAGCCTTCCGCTCCAAGAGGCCTCCTGGACGCCCCAAGAGGCCCCCAAGGGGCCCCAACAAGCGACAAGGGGCCCGAGAGAGACCCCAAGAGGCTCGAAAACGACTCCCGAGAGTCTGCAAGAACACCCTCGAGAGGCATCCCACGAGATCCCAATGAACGTCCACGAAGCCTCAGAGCGCCAAAACCATTGATTTCCTGTGGGTTTTGCAAGGTTGTTTGCCTCCTCGCCTTTTCGCCTCTTCGACGCTCCAAGACTGCCCAAGAAGCCTCCAAGACCACCCCAAGAAGGCCCAAGAGGCCTCCAAGAGAGCCCCAAGACCGCCCAAGAGGGCCCCACGACAGCCCAAGAGGCGCCCAAGACGGTCCAAGAGAACCCCAAAAGGGGCCCAAGAGGGGCCCAACATGGAGACAAAAAGCCTCCAAGACCACCCCAAGACGGCCCAAGAAACCTCCAAGAGAGCCCCGAGACCGCCCAAGAAGGCCCCACGACAGCCCAAGAGGCGCTCAAAACGGTCCAAGAGGACCCCAAGAAGGCCCTAAGAGGGGCCCAAGATGGAGACCACGAACCGACAATCCGAGCCTTCCGCTCCAAGAGGCCTCCTGGACGCCCCAAAAGGCTCCTAAGAGGCACCAGAAGGCGACAGAACCCGAACGAGACTTCAAGAGGCTCGAAAACGACTCCCGAGAGTCTCAAAGAAGCTCTCGAGAGGCATCCCACGAGATCCCAATGAACGTCCACTAAGCCTCAGAGCCCCCACCCAGGCACGGTGGCGAATGTGACGAAGGTAATTAGATAAAACCAGCCGCCGACCCTGCAGCTCCGCACCGCTCCAAGAGGCCTCCTGGACACCCCAAAAGGCTCCCAAGAGGCCCCAAAAAGACGACAAGGGGCCCGAAAGAGACCCCAAGAGGCTCGAAAACGACTCCCGAAAGTCTCCACGAAGCTCTCGAGAGGCATCCCACGAGATCCCAATGAACGTCCCCCTCCTCCTCCGCCTCCTCCTCCCCCTGCTCCTCCACCTCCTCCTCCTCTCCCCCCTCCTCCTCCTCTGCCACTCGCCTTTTCCACGCTCGCGCTTCTACCCTGCTACCCCCAAAACCCCGCCCCCCCTCACACACGACGAAACATAGCAGCGGAGAGATGAAGTAGAGAAGAGAAAGAAACTGCATAATGTTGTCTTGTTCCCTGCGATCGTATTCACGAGCCGCCACTTTCCGAAACAGAAGGTTCAAGCGGGCAAAGAATGGTTCCCGCCGGCGAAATCACCCAAAGCCAGCCATCTATAAACAAAAAAACGACCCAGCAACACCCCATTGACAACGATCACGCGGGCACTCGACAGCCGTGCACCAATACGGGCCGGCGGAATGAGCGAAGCGATTAAATAAGACCATCTCCCATCGGTTGCGCCATAAATTGCGCCATCGGCGGCCGAGACTTAAACCGTCTCCTGTCGGTTACGCCATCGGATGCGCCCTCGGCGGCAGGTTGCGCCCTTCGCGGTCGGTCGAGAGTGAACCCGTCGCGTAACGGGTGCGACCAGCCTGCTCATTTCAGTTTTGTTCAGTTCAGTCAATTTACCTCGCGAAAAACAGATTCCGGTTACGTCCAAATTTATCTGTGAAGAGGTCTCTGGCGGGAACGAATGTTGTTTTTGAACCGGGGGCCAAAAACACAATTCTGAGACCCAAGCCTTCCCCTGATAAAAAAAACAGGGTGCGAGCTCCGGGAAAGGCACTTCAATGGAACAAAAACACCTTGTGCCTCAGAGGGGGGACCAACAATGATTATTCTTCAGAGCACAACGAACACAACAACACCACCACCACCACCACCAACAACAACAGCAGCAGCAACAGCAACAACAATAGCAACAACGGCAACACCAAGAACAACAACACCAGCAGGAACAGCAGCAACAACACCACCAACAACACCACCACCACCACCACCACCACCACCACCACCACCACCACCACCACCACCACCACCACCAACAACAACAACAACAACAACAACAACAACAACGAACCACAAACAAACATAATCCTGGCCACACAGTCCCACTTCACCCATGCACCCAGGGATGGTGTAAGACGGTTCGGCCCCCTCGCTCTGACATTGCGACAGTCCAGTACTTATCCAGGCCGCCAAACATCGGCTAGACGCAAGAGTGACCCTGGGTAAGAGTGACCTTTGGTGCGCGGCTTTGGGCGGTGAGAAGGGACCAAACCCAAGCGCGCAGGCCGCTGCTACCGCCTCGCGCTCAACGATCGGGGGGCCCGATGAGCCCGCACCGACGGTCACTCCGACGAAAAGCTACTCCTACGTGTAATCGAGTGGAGGGTGAGCAAAAAGGAACCGCGACTGCCCGCGGGATTAGGCCGTCCCCGCTGTCCCCCTCCAGGCCCTCGGCGCGAACCGCGGACGCGACCTCCAGGGACTTCTGCCACTCGCCCGCTTTCGCGAGCGCGCCGATGGCGATGTCGGGGGATGGCCGGAGGAGGGCGCCCCCCCAGCATCTCTACCGGTGGAATCGGCAAAATCCTGCATCTCCCGCGCGAACAGGGTGCTGGCGCAAACGTCAAGGCGACCCCCTGCCCCCGATTCAGTGTCGGTTGGCATTGCCAGCGGGGCGCAGGATTTCGGCCAGTCGACAGATCGACACATCGCGGAACAGCCCGCCAACAGCAAATTTGGGGCGCGGGGGGTGTGCGCAAAAATCAACACAAAACTGTCAGAACTTGTCCATCCTCCCTCCCGCGTCTACTCCCGTCCTCCTCCTCCTCCGCCTCCTCCTCCTGTTCCTCCTCCTCCCCCTCCCCGCCACCTCCCTCCCCATCGCTCCCCTTCCATCTCCGCTCCCTCGCTCCCCTCCCACTGTCCCTCCCGACCGCGCGGAGCGCCCCTTCTTCGGCCTCCCCCACATGTTGCAGAACACCACGCTCCGCTCCAGGGCCTGCGCGGGCATGTCTCGCAGCAGCCGCATCGCTGCACGCCACTGGCCCGCCGACGCGCAGGACATGCACGCGGCGGCGTGCACAGGGGCCGCCGCCCCGCTCGCGGCCCACTCCAGCAGCGCCAGCGCGCGCGCCCAATCGGCGCGGGGCTCGCACGCACCTGCCGTGGCATTCAGCAGGGCGGCGGAGCCAGCACCCTGGCCCCTGCCCGGGAGCCAGCGCAACACGGCCAGCGTCGACTCCCAACGCCCGCCCGCCCCGCACGCGGCCGCGGTGTCGACGCACGCGGTGGCGTCGGGCACCACGCGCCACCAGGCCGCCTGCGCCAGGAGGCCCACGGCCCCCCGCCACTGCTGCCCGGTGCGACAGGCAGCCACCGCCATGCCGCAGAGGACCAGGTCTGGGCGCAGGGCGGCTGCGCGAGCCCCGTCGAGCTGCTTCACGGCAGCGCTCCATTGAGTCGCGGTGGCATATGCGCAGGCCGCAGCGCTGAAGGACCAGAGGTCCACCTGCACGGCCTGCGTTGGCATGCTGCGCAACAGCTCGAGCGCCGCGAGTTCTCCGCTGCCGCGCCGGCACGCGACCAGGGCCACATTATGCGACGCGGCGTTCGGGGAAAGCCTGTGGGCGACGAGCTGCTCGAGGCAGAGCAGCGCGCGCGGCCACACCCGAACACAGGCAGCCATCGCTGAGTTGTGCGTGATCACGTCGGGAAGGCAGGACTCTTGCCGTGCCATGTCTAGGGGAACAAAAAGTGACGTAAACATAAAAAAAAAGGTCCGCGCGGATTTCTCGGATCGGCGCTGGGGCCCCCCGGCGGCGCCTCCGGCGCCGCCCCTGGCGCGCTCCGCGCGCCAGGGAGGGGGGTCCAGCGCGAATCCAAGAAATCCGCGCGGACCTCCGAGTTGTTATGTTTATGTCACTTTTCGTTCCCCTAATGTCCACCAAAGCGAACGCCTGCTCCCACCTCTCTCCTTTGCCGCAGGCGTGGATCACGGCGTTGAGATTGATGAGGCGGCCAAGCGGTGCCGCCGGGGCCCCGCTGCGGCTCTGCAGCAGCGCCACCGACCGCCGCCACTGCTTCGCCACCGCATAGGCAGCGACGAGGGAGCCCACCCCGAAGGTGTCGATCGCGAGCACGTGAAGGCGGGCCTCCCGCAGCAAGCCCGTGGCGCGGGCCCATTCCTGAGAGTGCTCGAACACCCGAGCGGCGGCGTTGAAGCTGACGTCGCTGGGCGCGATCGCGCGGCGCCGCATCCCTTCCAGGTCGTCCAGGGCCAAGCGCCATTCCCCGCTCTCCCCGCACGCCACGATGGCCGCGGTGCAATCGTGGACGGAGAGCTCTAAGCCCACCGACTGCATATGGCGGGCGAGCGAGAGAACCGCCTCCCGGCGCCCGGCCCGCGCGCAGACTCCGGCCGCGGCGCTGCAGACGATCCCATCGAGGCTGAGGCCCTCACTCGTCAGGCGCGAGAGCAACTCCAGCGCGTCCTCCCACTGCGCAGCCCTCTTGATCTCCTTGGTGTAGTCCACGACGTCCCGGGCCTGCGGCCGCACGCTCCCGGGCCACCGACGCCTGTTGGAAGCTGGGCGAGGGCTGGCAAATCCGTGGCTGCTGAAGCCGGTCTTCCCGGAAAGAACAACAAATTCCCGGCAAAAACCTCAGCGCACCGCGTAGTAAACGGGCGGCTTCCCGGAAGAGAAAACTGCTTTCCCGGAGCTCCGTGTTAGCAACCACGGATCTGCCAGCCTTTGCTCGGCGGCGACGATCGGGGCGCACAGCCTAGGGGCGGGCATGACACGTGTTCGCCCGGGAGCCTCTTCGAAGACATAGATCATCCCAGAGATCCGATGTCGTGATTTTTTCGATGAGCGGTCCCTAGAGGTCTCGACCCATTCCCCAGGACCGGTTTTTCATCCTGAGTCGTTTTCTGACGGTCCCGAGGCCCGGCGAGGGCCCCTAGGGGGCCGAAATCTGTGAAAAACCTCCGTCTTGATTTTCTCAAAATGCGTTGGACCCCTGGGTCCTCGGCGCCGCTCCCCCCCCTGGGCTGCTCGCCCCTGTCGTCGCCTCCGATCTTCGCCGGGCCCCTGCGCCTGCTGGAGCCCGGCGCCCGGCGCAGCCGCGCAGCGGCGGCCCAGTACTCCGGCGGTACCTGGGACGGCGCGGCGCTCCTCGGGGCTGCCGGCGGAGGCGAGGCCACAGGGGAGCAGAGAGTGGCACAAACATACCCAAAGATCCAGCGCATTGAAAAAATCACGACGGCATTTTTTCGCCAATTTCGGCCCCTACCGGGCCTCGGGACCGTCAAAAAACGACTCGGGATGAAAAACCGGTCCTGGGGAAGGGGTCGAGACTTCCGGGGACCGAGTATTGAAACAATCACGACGTCGGATCTCTGGGTATAACCAGCCTCGAACTTATCCCTATCCCTAAGATTGACACGCCCAAAGGCGATGGCAATCTTAGGGATGCACCCTCAGGAACGGAGGGAATTCCTAAGATCGCCATCGTGATGAGGCGATGCCCAACATAGGGATAGGGATAGGGATAGGTTCCAGGCTGGTAAACACAGAAAAACTCGGAGGTCCGCGCGGATTTCTCGGATTCGCGCTGGGCCCCCCTCCCTGGCGCGCGGAGCGCGCCAGGGAGGGCGCCGGAGGCGCCGCCTGGGGGGCCCCGGCGCCGATCCGAGAAATCCGCGCGGACCTCCGAGTGTTTGTGTTTACACCCTGCGAAATGCTTAAGAAATCATGGGTTAAGAAATTCATAGTCTCAGAACTTGAATAAAAACCCTACATTTCCATTCAAATCTTAGGATTAACATTGAAACGTTAAGAATAATCGAGACTCTGGCCGAAAAAAAAGTTTTCTTAAGCATCGCATAAGGTGTAGGCCACTTTTGGTTCCCCCAGAGGCGGGCCAGGAGGGGCCGCCCTGGCCCGGGCACGCGTGCATCGGCCAGTGGCCGCGGGGTCGCGAGGGCGCTCGCTTCGAGGGGGCGCTGCGGGGGAGGGCCGAAGGCGGGGGGGGCGCGTGAGAGGACAGCGCTTCGAGAGGGCGCGAGAGGACAGATAAGCAGATGGGGAGGGGTGAAGACGGAGGAGGGAGGATTCGGCGGCGAGAGAGGGGGGGAAATGAGAAGGAGGATGCCTTCTCAGAAGGCGGCGGGACTCCTCAGAAGCGCTCCGGCCTTCTGAGAAGTTCCCTGTGTCTTCACGAAGGCTTAATTAGGGAACTTCTCAGAAGGCTGGGGCACTCCCGAGCCCTCTGAGAAGGCCTCCTCCTTCTCACTTCCCCCCCCCCGCTCGCCGCAGAAGGATAGGGAAGAGGGGGCACTGGAATGGAGGACGGGGGAATGGCGCACGGGGGACTGGGATGGTTCAGTGGGCACTGGGGAGGACACTGGTCAGCGACTCCAAAAGGTATGGTTTGCAAAGGGTGTGGTTTGCAACCGGCACCCTGAGGAACATACTGAGGGGCACCCCAGGGAGCGCGCGGGGACCTCGATAGAGTTCTCCCGCGCCCCGAAGAGGCCCCACGAGGACAGTGTCGTGCCCCCCCCGGCCCCAACGGTGCCGATCGCAAACCACACCCCGGCGTAACCGCGCCCTTTGTAGTCGCCGAGCCGCCTGGTATGGCCCCTGGTGTCGCCTCCTTTCCGAGGGGGCACTGGGGCCGCGCAGTCGGGAGCGGCCAAGAGAGGGGTGTCCAAGAGGGGGGGGTGCAAATCATGACCGGCGGCATGTGCGCGGCCCAGCGGGGGGGACCTGGTACGTGATGAAATAAGAGGAGGCGCCATGAAATCTGAGGAAAAATCCTGGCCCGCGCCACGACATCCCCCTCCCCCCTAGTCATCACCCCCCTCTTTTCCGCCCCCGACGCAGGCGGGCCCAAAGTCGGCGGCGGCCGGGGCCGCGCGCCCCGGCTGCCTGTGCCCGAGACGTCCTGCCACCGCGCCGTGGGCACCGAAGGGGGACGGGGCTCGGGCCCCCCGGGATCCGCAGCTGGAGCACGGCCGGTCCTGGGGCAGAAGAGCGCCCCCAGAGATCCAGCGTGTGGAAAAGGTGGAGGAGGAGGAGGAGGAGGAGGAGGAGGAGGAGGAGGTGTAGGAGGAGGAGGATGAGGAAGAGGAGGAAGGAGGAGGGAGGGAGGGAGGGAGGGAGGGAGCGAGGGAGAGAGGGGGGGGGAAGGATGGGGGGGAGGGAGACTGAGAGGAAGAGGAGCAGGATGAGGAAGAGGAGGACGAGGAGGAGCGAGGCGGAGGTTTTTCACAAACTGCGGCCCCTGGGGGCCCTGGCTGGGCCTCGGGACCGTCAAACAACGGCTCAAGATGAAAAACCAGTCCTGGGGAATGGGTCGAGACTTCTGGGGACCGCCCACCGGAAAAATCACGACATCGGATCTCTGAGCATCCTTCAAGTTGGGCGTCCCTTGATTCATGCCATGTCGGGCGTGTCCCTCTACAGGGCGATGTTCGAAGAAAAAAAAAAACCCAAAATGCACCAGAAATGCACCAAAAAGGCAACAATTACTCAAAACATAGTCCCTCGACTATTTTTGGACAAATTTGTATTATTTTTGGGGTATTTGTTTTTCGTCGAAAATCCCTCTGTAGGGGGACAGGCCCGACTTACGATTCATGGGGGGGGCGAAGAGAGGTGGACTTCTCGGGCCCCAAAGGTCCCCTTTGGGGCCCTAACGGGCCCTTGTTCTGCAGCCTTCGCTGCCCCCCATGCATCGCACCCCCTGTTGCAGGGGAACGTAAGACCTGGGTACAGGGGACTCGGAAATCCCCGACGAGGTCGTCAAAAAATGACGAGGCCGAGCCTGCATTTTGACGAGGCCTCCCGCTGCAGACATCCCACGAAACTCCTCCTCGTCAAAATCCGAAGCGCGGTCGTCAAAAAACGATGGCGAACCCGAGTCCTGGCAAACCCGGGTCTTACGCTCCCCCGACTGTTGCGCGACGCCCAATCAAGAGCATGAGAGCCCCCGCTGGCCAAAACATACAGAACATCCAAGGGCACCCTCCCCAGGATGCACAAGAACGTTCACCCGACACGAAGTCCTCTAGGGTACCCTCCCCGAACTGACCTCGATCTTATACCTCGGTCCGGCCGTATCAGAAACATTCGAATCACACGGGACAATTGTGTCAACTCGAACAAACTGGTGTGAACAACAATCGCAATCACTGCTGGCTTTGTATGGCTGCGCCGCCCGTCACCGCGCTCATGCCATTGCCCCGACTCTACCATCGGTAGCGAACGCTGCAACAATGGTTTCATGACAGCGAGACGCAATATTGTCAAGCTTTGCGACGCGAAGGTTCAATGACGCCAACGCTGGTCAAACATACAAACAACTTATGGTGGTACGCGAACGCTGCATGATGCTACACGAGCGCGAGAACAGCGCTAAACAACGCTCAGCGAGCAAACCAATAATGGCAACGAACACTACAAGAATACTAGATCAGGAATTGAACAACAAAGACGGCTGCAAATATTTGCCGTGCAATTCATTCCGATCCGCGTCTGCGTTAGATCTGGTATGCGTTCGTGGGCGAAACCGCCTTCAACCAACGGCGTTAAATTCGGAGCGTGAAGGACTGATACAATACGAAACTATTAGAATAATTGTGCGATTCCTCTCGTTGACGGCACTGTCGCGAACTCCTCCGCGTCATGAGATCATTCAGCCCCTTTCCTCCTCTGTCCAGGAAAAGAGGCCGAGGCTGAAGAGAAATACGAGGATGCGCGCGACGGTAAGGGAAGAGAACGGGTAGGAATAGTGTGACGAGGATACAGGAGCTGGACGTTAATGACCTTTTTTTACAAGATTCAAGAGAAATAGGCGGACGAAAACGACACATATTCGCGTGGCCGAACAAAGAACACCGAAACGTCGACGTACCGATACGCCACAACTGTCCACATCTGGAAGGACGAGCAACAGCCGAACTATGCGTTCGTACACACACACACACGCACACGCGCGGCTAATCATCGCCACTGCGTCGCTATACGACGCGCGCCCATGGCACGTAAGCTTTTATACAGCAGGTCATGATCGCTAAAGATAGAACGCGCGTTGCCGATCGGACGTGACAATGCATTCGCACACAATCACTCGTCGGGAAAGAATCACAGAGCATCTCAATATAATGGCAGCGAGAGCGATGACATCATGGCGGCGTACCAGCTCGCCGCTCCTGGGTATTCGTTTTCGGAGACGCCCGCAAAAAGTTATATCGCCCCACCGTTCGCATAAGGCGCAGGAGCAAGCTGTCACCCGGCGCCGCTTCAGAAATGAACGATGAGTGGTGTACATGTATATAAAAAGGGAGAGTGAGAGAGAGAGAGAGGGAGGGAGACAGAGCAGAGAAAGAGACTCCGAACACAAGACTATGGAAAGCATCTCCCGCTCTTCTTGTCGGGTCAATCGAACCCGCTGGCACGCGGCTCCTGCACGAATTTGCAGCGACTTTGGCCACCGTGCCAACAAGGAGCGCGCTCTTCACTCGATGTACCGCCCGTTGTGCAGTCGTGGTGCTATGCGCGTGGTATCTCGAATGATGTCCCTGGTATTATGCGTGTGGCACTGTATGCTCTTTTGGACAAATTCTCGGCACGGTGCGTCATACGGACAAGGCGAGACATGAGGCTTGAACGTAGAACCAGACTTACAGGTTTGGTCAGAAGATGACGACACATCCCTCGCATATTCTGTAGACTGGAAGAGCAACGCCTCGCGAAGCAATGGCACAAGGTGCCAATACTTATGGCACACACGTCGGAAACTCAAACTGTTGCTCTGTTTTGAGCTCGCGCGGTTTGCCAAGCACGGGCACAAGCCAGATCAAGCAAGGCAAGAACATACCTGACTGGACCAAATGACGGATAATAATAAATGCGTATCCGCCACCGTGCCGCGAGGCACGAGTTTGAGTGCCCTCAGATCCTGTGTAGTCCCCCGTCCTTAGGATTGAATATCTAAGGTGCCCGGGCCCTAAATTCTGAAAACTTGCCTGACATGAACGCGAGACGCGTAAAGAGTTGCGCAAGAACTTGCAGCATTATCGCGATCAAATGCAATACAGGCGAGCTCTCCGAACGCTCCCAAGGGATACGTATGGACACGCGCCCTCCGAACGTTCACAAGCATATTCTTGAGTTTCCTCCTCACTCCTTCGCATGAGGATGACGACGGCGAAGACGACGACCGG